AAGACTGAATCTGCAATGGTAAACAGCTTGGTGTGAAGAAATCAACTGTGGGAGCAATTATTAGAAAATGGAAGACAGACAAGACCACTGATAATCTCCCTCGATTTGGGGCTCCACGCAAGATCTCACCCCGTGGGGTCAAAATGAATCACAAGAAACACACCGCCCGGGCAACGAAGGAGTGGCTTCGTAAGAAGCATTTCAAGGTCCTGGAGTGGCCTAGCCAGTCTCCAGATCTCAACCCCATAGAAAATCTTTGGAGGGAGTTGAAAGTCCGTGTTGCCCAGCGACAGCCCCAAAACATCACTGCTCTAGAGGAGATCTGCATGGAGGAATTGACCAAAATACCAGCAACAGTGTGTGAAAACCTTGTGAAGACTTACAGAAAACGTTTGACCTCTGTCATTTCCAACAAAGGGTATATAACAAAGTATATACCCTTTTTTGTCTCTCATAGTTGAGGTATACCTAGGATGAAAATTACAGGCCTCTCATCTTTTTAAGTGGGAGAACTTGCACAATTGGTGGCTGAATAAATACTTTTTTTGCCCCACTGTATATATGCAAAAGGCAGATGGGGAGATTTAGCATTTCTGGGTTGAATAACTTAATAAATAAATACACACATGTGTCAAATTAGTTGTTAGTAGTCATGTGTCTAGCATTTTAAAAGGTTTCTTCTTCCAAGAAAATTTTTGTTCATTACAATATAGATCACATTTGTGTGGTACATTTCAATATAATAGGCGGAGATCAGGGAATAGGGTGACATTGTAATCATAAAAACAGGTGCACCGTCAAGACAATTACAAATATATTCAAATGACTATGGACTGCTACTAAATAAAGATTTTTGGCCGTGACTCTGTGCAGCACCACAATACCTCATTCAGAATGTCGTTTTTTTTTTATTACATATTTTGCTTTATTGAGATATGGATATTGCACTAGAATTCTGTTCAGCCATTGATAAAAGCATGCTTAAAAAGTTTGAAGAACATGTGCAAACTACTCACTGGTAGTCCCAGAGCCACTGCATCAACAGGCTGGTAGAAAGGCCAGGCAAACTGGTGCTTCCACAGGGATTTGATCACTACGTTGTGCATGTATTGCAGCTGGTTGGTCTTCCGGCCTGGAGTGTTGGGGTCCGTCACTTCAGGGGGCGGAGGATTCACGAGACGTGGGGGGTGCGTGTTCGCTTCGGCTGACATGATGACGCCAGGCTGGGCTCTGATACGTGAACACAGCCTCCCCTGGTGTCTGCTGTCTCGTATGAGTTCTGTATTTTCCGTATGTCAGGTCTTCAAAGGCCAGCTTACTTCATTCATAGTTTTCATACAAGAAAAGGTGATCTGTGGATATTAAAAACAGAATCACATCATACCTATGGTCCAATTTTTTTATTTGGATGCAAATCAGGGATGCTGGAGATGTGCCCTCTCAAAAACTGAAGGTCAGTCTACATTATCTTGAAATCACATTTAAGTTTGAAGTCTGACAACAAGCACAGACCCAACAAACACACTTCTTACCATAGGAACATTTCAAAGTTGAACTTTGTATGCAATAGGAAATACATAATACAGCTTTATGATATTCATGCGTTTCATTTAATGTTAAAATACATACCTTTTTCATCTGTTGTTTAACTAGTTGTTATTTTATGTAAAACAAATTTAGCAATGTGTTATTTGAATGACAAGTTATAGGTAATTGATAATAAATGTTATTTGTTCACTCAATAAGCTTAATCAGTTGCAACAGGTAATCTATATATATTTACACTCAGTTTAAGAGATGTTATACGATGCGTTGCTCTATAGATAGCTTGTGCCCAAAGTACTGTAGAATTACAGCAATAAGTAAACCTGCTAATTTTAAGTTATTGACATTACATTAAACGCAACAAAAAGCAAATAACTAGCTTGACAGGTTTTTTTTTAAAGCAAAATAGGTATAGTACAAAAAACTGCTGAAAGTGCCTGAGTAAACGTTACCTGAGATATGCTATAACTAACCCAGGTGTTGTTAGCTTAAATGTTACTAGCTAGCCGTCGAAATAAAACGTAGTTCGCCAAAAGTAAGGAATAGTCTTACCATAACTAAGTTGCATAGGAAGTTGCATACAATGGTCAAATTATGCTTTGTTTGTTTTTTAGAACGTCGAGTTTTAGAACTAAGTTTTCACCATGTGTTGTTTTGACCAGAGCTCACCTTAAATGTTCAAAGCTAAGTTACCTGTCATCTTCACACAACTGAATTCAGGAAAGTCACGCCGCGAAAGACATTGTGGACGAGTTCAGACATTTGTTTACATATATTTTTGAAAATAACGACAATTCTTGCTTTAGAGGATTCTACACCTAGTACATGCCCACCTGTAAATGTCAATAGTTACCTCCAGAGTGAACAGTTACACCCACTTTGAAACTGAAAACGTTCGCACTAAAACAAACCTAAGGCAAGAAACGTGCTTTGTTTTTTCTTGTTCCCCTCTCCGATAGCTGCATAGGCGGATAGTAAACAGAGAGGACACTGCCCCCTATGGGCCGGGGTGTATGGTGGCACTCTCAAATTCTGTCCTGTATTAAAATCCCATATTCTATCTATTCAATATCATTATGTTTTTATCAACGGTGAAAGTAAAGTGTTACCCATTGCAGCCCAAACGCGTAGCAAGGCCACATTAGAACCGGTGCTATACCCAAAGAAAAATAATAAGTAAATATAGTCCAAATTTGCGTTTGACACTTAATTGTCCCTCGTTAGCTTCCGTTACTTCTGAGGATAAGACGCATGCGCAGTACAGTACTCACCACCATACGCCACATTCCCCGCTTCTCCTCGCAGCCAGCAGGCAAACATACAGGAGCGAGCCAAGTGCTTAAATGCGGTCTCCATGATCGTCTAAATAAAAATACGTGCTTTTTCCTACCAATCTTTACGCGGAGTATCAATCTGAACGCGGAGCAGCATCAAAACCCCGTGAGTATCGGTTTATGATGGATTCTTCCTTGTTTGAATGGAGGGCCCATCTGTGGCAGATCAGCCAATTTGTCAACAGCATCATCGATTTAAGACAGACGGCTACATGATTACACTGCTGTTAGCTGTAATAATAAACAAGTGCATATAAGATGGAGTTGCTATCTTTATTTGTCTGTTTTAAAATCATAAATGTATGCAGTACGATGATAGCTAACGTTACTGTCAGAGTTGAACTTCCCAGCGAAGAGATCCCGTGTCGCCCTTTGTTTAAAATTCATTATTTTCAAATGTATTGCATTAAAACACGAATAAACGTAAATATGTTTATCTTTTATACCAAATAGTATGTTATGCAGTGTTACCTGACTGTATGACATGTTAATATCACCTTAACAAGGCCAGTTAACGTTAGCTAGCTAGTTGCTAGCTGAAATAGCCACATTAATGGATGACGCTATGCTAAAGTAGAAAGCAGACACTCGCTTCATGGCTTTTTAACTACTAAAGACGAATACAAATGCCTTTATGAAAGTATTTAATGGAAATGATTAGCACTCTCACGGTTGCATTGCATAGATATGAAGTGTATAATGTATAACATAGCTGTCATGGTTGACATGATAAGAATAACATGTCATTGTATCGATGGCATGTGGCCCATATTGTACACAACAATTGAAAATCCCTTAAATTAAATGAGGTATGTATCCCTTGGAGTGATTAGTTACATATCAAGTTATTTTGAGGCGAGCCATTATAAATATATATTGTAATTACACCATACTAGCACATCAAAATGTGCTCTCTAGCATAGCTGACTCCTTATAATGAATAACTTTACAATGCTATTTGGCTATTTCATGCCAAACTGTATACATACAAACCTTTTGCTGGCTATTTTTAAGTCCTCAGTCTGCAGTTGATTATGTTTTGCTTTATATTGGTTTTCTTGCATATAACATTTTTATTTCTAAACTTGTTTCAATATCAATTTCTTCTGTTTTAGGATCCTGCCCAGTTGATGCTCATTTCCTCACCATGGCAACAGAAGATAAGAAACCAGAGACTGACACGAAACCTCCCGTTGTCCAATCGTCATCTTCCAGTCAAAGCAAGGTTAGGATTTCTGATTATAAATGTATGCTGGGAAAGAACATCTGTGAATAGTTTACTTTTTTCCCCTATGGTATCATATTTTGAAAAATGCGATGTGTTTGCCCTTTTTTTTTTTTAATGTGCTGTTTTGTTTTCATTGATAGTCTGCACCTGGCAAGCCAAACTACAGCCTGAAGTTCACACTAGCGGGCCACACCAAAGCGGTCTCCTCCGTCAAGTTCAGTCCGAGCGGAGAGTGGCTCGCCAGCTCATGTGAGTCCTTTTATCTTTTCCTGTTTGCTTTAAATCACATATGGGCCATGGTAAATTTGTGCTACATTTATTTTCATTATTATTATTTTGTATTATCTGCTAACTATTTCTTCCTCAAAAATAAACAAAATAGTCGTTGTCGCGTAAACAAAAAAAGAAAAAGTTGTCACGACACTAAATACATGTTTGTTTTTTCTTGACAGCGGCTGACAAACTCATCAAAATCTGGGGCGCGTATGACGGCAAGTTTGAGAAAACCATTTCCGGACACAAACTTGTGAGTGAAACAAATTCATCATATTTACTGCTGCACATTGTTTTAGCCTTTTTGGTTATCTTTTTATTAATGGGATTGTATTTGTCATGACCCATTACCCATGTGTAGAACACAAGAAGGTGATTTAAACCTGGGTTTTGTCTTAACCGGGTAACAGGGGCACTGTGCCCTCTTACATTTGGCGTGCGCCCTCATACCAAAATGCAGATTTTCCCAGATTTGTTTTAAAGTGATGCAAGAAAAATATATTTCTGTTCGTCCACAACAATATAATTACTCCAAAAATATGAAACTCGTGTCAAATAGAGCATAAGACGGCATAGTCAGCTTTGTTTTTACGGAGCTCTGACGTTGCTACATCTATAAATATATTAATGCTGTCAAAATTATCGCGTTAACGGCGGCAAATAATTTTTTGAATTAATTGCGTTAAAATATTTAAAGCATTTAATGCAGGTGCAGAATGGCCCGCCCCATACATCCCACCAGTGGCAGCGCCAGGGTATGGCTGGGGTAAGCTACACCCATACCAAGAAATGGCTTAGCCCCACCATGAAAAATGATGTTAAAGTAAGCAAAATAAAGTCCGCCAACTCGCGCCGAGAATTGCGCAGACAGCAGTTAGTAAGATTGATTTCAGTAGCCACTTGTCTGGAAATACCGAAGACCAGAAACGGTTTTGAAAACTTTTGTCACGTAGTGATCGTCTTCTCAATAAAACATCTTTGATAATGTCTTCTGGCCAATCAGAATCAAGATAACGGCGTGGTGTTGTTGCAGGAAGTCCTGACGGAGACTACTTTTGCTGTAGTACAGGGGTGCACATAACTGGTACGCAGGTACGCATGCGCGGCAACAATCTGAAATGCGTACCGTCACTTCTGTCACAAAGCGCATTTGTGTACCGACGTACTTGTGAAGCTTTTCCAGAAGGCGGTTAGATCACCGGACGACAGAGTCGGTCTCCGTGTGCACAGACAGGGCTGCTGTTAACGTCGGTCTGTACAAAGGAATTGTGCCAAAACTACGCCAACCGGCTGCGGAGGGAGACTCCCCCCCCCTTCACTGGAGAACTGCGCTAAAACAGCTGATCACAACGTTCACACTCTGTGGTAACGAATTAAGACCCCCACG